AGTTAACTAAAGTACTAAACGTACGTAGGTTTGTTTTGTGGAACCGGTTTTCTCATTGTTAATGTTATTTTCCGGTTTTCTCACATTTGGGTCATACAGTATTTGCACCTAGAAGACTCATGCACATTTGTTTAATCTTAGAGTAATCGAAACAACTCTTTAAGTGCTTGAAATAACCTAAAAACGTTAAGATTAGGTTATTTCAAGCACTTAGAGAGAGGCCAAATTAATTTGGTTTCTCATTAACCAGAAAAGTAGTATGTACAAGTCCCACACAATACATATATAGCCTCGACAAAGAACTCGTAAAATTCGAAGTTTATTAGACTCAATATCAAACTAGAACTACATCAAGACAAGAGGTTAAATCTAGTAAATCTGAAGAAATGTGTCAAAAACTAATCCAACCAGTCTCATGTCTTACATATGGTAGACCAGTTCATCCCATCTACTAAACCCTAAATTTCTTGCGAAACAAGAAATCGATATAACTATAAAACAGATGCATTAAGTTTGTGACACAAACTATGTAAGAAAAGCTAGGTCTTTCTATATCATTAAATCTGTAAAAAGCTTTTTTGTTTTGGACTATTATGTAACTCAAAGTCCAACTATATGGGGGAAAAAGTCGTCTAAAATATATTTTACATTATCGTATCGTACTGCTTTTAGATTTTTACGTCAGTGCTTGCTGATGCTATGTAATAAAATTATTGTTTGTCACATTATAACTTCAACGTTCCTAATCATGTGTACGTGTCTCTACGTATACATAACACTTCGTTTGGATATTCTTCTCTTAAAATAAATTATTTACACCACTCTACGAATGAAAACGTAACACTAACTAATCACTTTACTAACAACTGTTTTATATATTGATAAGATTTTACAACATTTACAACTTTCTGACGTATATATTCCATCCCAAGAGAAAACAGAAGGTCATAGAAGAATAGTATTTATTTTGTTGAAAACTTTGACCTTACTTGAGATTTAGACCTCAAGTTTCGTAAAATATACGATGCTTCTTCGACAATATTTTTAGGAATCAGTTCCACAGAAGGAAAAACTACTTACCACAATACTTCCGAGGATTTAACTAAAATAAAATAAACAATGTAGCATAAATTGTATGTGGTCTAGTGTTAGTTTGATATGGCATGGGATGAAACATGATCAGTTTGCTTTGTACTATGAACAAATTCACATGTATGTTAGAGAACATAGACTTGAAACATTTGTCTTGTCGGTTGTTTGTGTTATATGTTACTTAATGATACAAGATCGTCCAAGACTAACATTTTTTTTTGTTTCTATATTTTTTTTTGTAAAGATATATGAATTAGCTTAAAATAGCCAATTAGAAAAATAATGTTTATATATGTGATATAATGCAGTTTGGTATAAAAATTTTATGCCAAATTGATAAACATAATGCTTTTAAATCAATAGGGTTACAAAGTTTTTTTCTTAACGGTTAGATCTATTATTTAATGTAAACTATGAGAATTATTACAAAGACAATTCTACCATTCACAATTCACTATGACCATATTATGTCCACCATGGACAATTTACAATGACCCTATTATATCCACCATGGATGAAATTGTTTTCTCGACAATAATTTCTTATCGATGCTCATGATGGATACCTTCAATAATCCATGACAGGTGATCCTTAATTTTTCATACTCATGATATATATTTAATGTGTGGAATCACGAAAAACAATTCTAATGATACAACGCACAAGATCTTTCGTAAACGTGTATCCATTAATCTGCCTATTTGTTAATAAATTGCATTATCTGAGATTCGAAACTCAAATTTCCTGGTGTAGAATCAATAATTAACCTTTTGTTAATCATAGGCCTAGAGGACTTCCACGGTTAAAATGTTTTTACAAGCAGAAAAACTAAAGAAACAAATTATAAATTAATATTAAAAATCAAGATAAAAAATTAGAACAAAAGATAATTTCATTATCTTTCCTAGCATCACACTTAAGCTTGTATCTTCAGCTTCATTTTTTTGCAATCCTTGAGCATAGTTAACTTCTTTAATATCACTATTTTGTTATTTATAGCAAGCATAATAACAAATTTTTAGTTTTTCATTCTACTATTCTAAATATGACATTGGCTTCCATTTTAAAACTACAATTTTATGCGAATTAAAGTTGTTTTTTTTTCTTAAAAAAAAAATATTTTTGCCTCCATGACTTTAGGCATGCTCTATATTTATGAGATGTTAGGTTTAGATTGTTTTCGTTGAACCATTTTTTTACCCATATTTCTAAGAAGACCATAAGAAAATATGATAATCAACATTGATGGATGGAAAATTCTACAGATTCAAATTCAAATTATGGATAACCAACCTTACATAATTCAAATTCAATTTAAGTTCATTACACGAGTGAAGAGATTCATGAACCTTACATATTTTTGTAGAATTTTCCCATCCATCAATATCGATTATCATATTGTCTTATAGTCTTCTTAGAAATATGGGTCAAAAATTGTTCAACATAACAATCTAAACCTAACATTTCAGAAATATGGATATTGATTATCACATTTTCGTATGACTATTAATTGACGCAAATTTTGATTAACATGATCAATCAACGCAATTACTTTTCTGGATTTTAATGTCTTTTTCTATGATTATACAGTCGACGCAGTTATACAACTAATTTATCGTGTGTTCCACTACGGTTTATTTTAATCTATTAGTTTAGTTGACCAAAAACATACAACTTTTATCATGGTTTTAATTTTAATTGTTTGATTTATATTTGATTTCAATCAGAATTAGAATCTTTTATATTTGATTTCAATCACAATTTTCCATATAAATGATTTAAATATCAAGAATATCCATTTTATTATCAAATAAAGAGAATATCCATTTTCTTCGTATAAACTTCTATTTAAAATACGGAACTGTTTGGATTCAGGTTATTGATAGAAATTTGTATGATCTAATAGAATAAATATATATATAAAAAAGAATTCCTCAAAATACCATCATTTTAGTTTTCTTTCCAAAAATACCATCAATATTAAATTATTGTTCAATGGTAGGGAATTTTAAATCTTTGGTTTGGGTTAATTATTTTGCAATTTAGGATATAGTATTTAGGGGTAGGGTTTAATGTTTAGAATTTAGAGTTTAGAGTTGAAAAATTTTAAATCTAATTTTAGTATTGTGATATTTTTGTCCTAAAAACAAAAATGATGGTATAAATTGTTTTGGTATTGGTCTAGATCCTTTCAGGTTGATTGGATATTAATTTCTATAACCAGAGTAAATATCTGGATTTTTGGATTACCGATTTTTGGGTAAGAATTTGGAGTCACTGATAAAAATTTGAGTATTGGATCCTAAATTATTTATATGTATTCAGATTTTATGTATTTTCATGTTCAGGTCATGTTCGGTTTTAGGTTTTCAGGTAGAGAAATTTATGACTTAATAATATAAATATAAAATTATATCGTCAAAAAAGAACCTTAGGCTCTCGTATTTCCCCAATTTGTATTGTTCTTTTTTGTGCTAAACACCAAATTGTATTGTTTTAAAAGGTTAATATACAAAAACATTCAGTAGAATCCAGTGATAACATGTTAAGAACAAGATGGTTTAGGGAAATCGTTCTCTTATTATTGATATATTCTATGGGATACAATATATATAGAGAATAAGGATACAATATCAGGGTTTAGTCATCCAAAATTTACTAATGGACAATATAATAAGCATATATATACATAATATTATTCTTAACACAGTTATCATAAAAAATAATTCACCCAGATTAAAAAAAAAAAATTATTAATTAACTCAACAATTCAGCAAGATTTAACCAAATTCGTCTTTTATAATTTAACCCTTAATAAATGAATTTTTATCACATGTTTCATTTGTAGTTTTGCTTTGACGTATGCAGCGGGGTATATAATTGAATAGGTCAATGAATCAACCGTGCTTTACACGCTGTATAATATAATTTTCACAGTTAAGATAAGACTTCAAATCAATTAAAATCAAAAGAAAATCAGATTTAGTCATTGTTTTTTTGTGTGTTATTATTAAGTGTATATAAAAACACTATAATTAATAATACACTCATACAAACCAACCATTGACAATTCAGTTTTTGTTTAGATATTACAACACATATACACCTCTTCATTAACTTAAATAATAACAACTAGGAAAAATGTCATAAAAATCCCGAACTTTCAAATTTGGGACGATTTATTCTTGAACTTTAAAAAAGTCATTTTAATCACAAAGTTTTGTTGATTTTTCCGTAAAATAGCTAAGTTTTGTTGACTTCACTTATTTAAACATGACATTTAATTTTTGTTAAAAACTTGAAGATGTGGTTAACTATCTGTGAGTTGCTTCTGTTTAGCCTAAATGACTATGTTTCTTAGATGACAAAACGACGTTGGAAGTCGTTTTCTGACCCCAAGGGTCCGCGCTATGGCAACAATTCAACAAGAAGTAAAGAGAATTTGTGGATTTTTCTAGGGTTAGGGAGTTAAATTTGTGAAGAATCGATTTTGGGATTTAGTTTCTTCAGTTTGTTAAAGGATGTCGTTTTGTGGTTTGAAACAGAAGCAATTCACGGATAGTTAACCCCGTCTTTGCAATTTTAAGAGAAACTAAACGTCATGTTTTAATCGGCTAAGTCAACAAAACTTAACTATTTTACGGAAAAGTCAACAAAACTTTGTGATTAAAAAGACTTCTTTAAAATTCGTGATTAAATCGTCCCAAATTTGAAAGTTTAGGATTTTTATGACATTTTTCCCAATAACAATTACGCTAAGTGTTAACTTTTAGTATTGTTGCCGTAAGCAAAACGGCTAAAATTATACGAGAATGACGTAACCATTGTCTACGTCACATTTTCATAAGATTACACTATATATATATCTCACACCTCCATGTTCATAAGATTACACATTAAACGTTACACTTGTGTATATTATATAGTTTGATGTTAAGAAAGAAGTAGTATATTATACGTCATCTTTGTCTCTTTATATTTCATCTCTTGACATTACCAAATTACATAACATAAACCATGGCAACTTCTGCAACATCTAAGCTCTTAGTGTCTGATTTTGCCTCTACCATTAGTCATATCCCTTCAAGTTACGTCCGGCCCATCTCCGACCGTCCAAACTTGTCTGATGTCGCAAGTTCCGGCGATTCCATCCCTCTTATCGATCTCCGGGACCTCTATGGACCTAATCGCGCCGCGATTGTTCATCAACTTGCTAAGGCTTGTTCTACTTATGGTTTCTTTCAGGTATTGTTATGTTTCAAGTTTAGTAATTTACTATGTTTTCATTGTAATAAACTATGTTTTACTCTGTTTTATTACTCTGTTTCAAGATTTATCTTGTTGATTATGTAACAGATCAAGAATCATGGTGTGCCGGATACAACAATCGAGAAAATGATAACTGTTGCAAGAGAGTTCTTCCATCAACCGGAGAGCGAAAGAGTCAAGCACTACTCCGCAGACCCAACAAAGACGACGAGAGTCTCCACCAGTTTTAATATCAGTGCAGACAAAATCTTGAACTGGAGAGACTTCCTTAGAATCCATTGCTTTCCCATTGAAGATTTCATTCAAGAATGGCCTACTAGTCCTGTCTCCTTCAGAGAAGTCACAGCTGAATACGCCACGAGCCTAAGAGCTTTGATCTTGAGACTTCTTGAGGCTATCTCAGAGAGCTTAGGTCTTGAAAGAGACCATATAAGCAATATATTAGGCCAACACGCTCAGCACATGGCGTTTAATTACTATCCGCCATGTCCCGAGCCCGAGCTAACTTATGGACTTCCTGGACATAAAGACCCAACGGTTATCACTGTCCTTCTTCAAGACCAAGTCTCTGGTTTACAAGTCTTTAAAGATGATAAGTGGGTCTCTGTTAAACCAATTCCAAACACTTTCATCGTCAACATCGGCGACCAAATGCAGGTTTGGTAATCAAATACTTTTTATAACATTTTGTGTTAAAATTCCTCTGTTTTATGTGATGGTGTCTCCTTGTTTTAGGTCATAAGCAATGACAAATACAAGAGTGTACTCCACAGAGCAATAGTAAACACCGAGAAGGAGCGATTATCGATTCCAACATTCTGTTTCCCTGCCGCAGAAGCAGTGATTAGTCCTGCACATGAACTGATCAGTAAACAAGATTCTCTTGCTGTTTACAGAAGCTTCCCTTTTGTTGAGTACTGGGACAAGTTCTGGAACAGGTCGCTCGCTACTGCGAGCTGTCTCGATGCCTTCAAAGCTTCAACAACCTAAAGAGAGTCTATCTTGTAATCAATCTCGACTGGCTCTTACCAAGAGCTAATAGCTCAACGGGTAAAAACCTAGAGATTGCAAGTTCGAGTGGTTCTTGGGACGAGAACATATAACATGCTTTGGTCTCAGAAAAAGACAAATTTTGACCGGCTCTTTAGCTATTGTATGGATTTCAATATCAGTTTGTTTCTTATAAATAAAGACTTTTCAAGATCAGTTTGTTTGTTATGAACGTTAACAAATGTTCTTTAAAAATACATTAAGACAAAACTATCACCACTAGACATATCTTATCAAACTATATATAATAAACGTACTATATATAGAATCTTAGCTTTTAAAGTTTTAAAAGTCTCTCTTCCACAGCTGTTCACACAAATCTTTCTATCATGTATTTTTTTTTACACAAGTGGAATGTTTAAGTCCACGGTCTTTGCCCCCACCACAACAACCTTAATTATAATTGGGTTGGCCAAAATCTTAGAGGTTCCCAAATCAAAAGGAATTGGATCAAGAGAGTTAAATGAATGCTTATATAATATTTTCAAAAGATCGGTAACGTGAGCTTGGGGGCAAAAGAAGTGGTGTGGATGATTGGTTCGGATTATGTTGGATGAGTTCGTAGCTGAACTTGTATTGCTTGACCTCATGAGGGAATCACAATTGAGGCATTGAAATGTTCATTGCTAAACCCTAGTTTTCAGTTCCTTGGGAAACAAGATTTAGCCTGGCTTTGATCATGTTTGTTTTGTTTCTCATCTAGGTTATAATTAACTTTTCATGTTTGAGTATCAATAGCAGCGATTGAGGCATTAGACAGATTTGTAAAGTGTGTCTAGATGCAATGGTGATGGGTAACATTGAGAAGAAGCTTCCATGTATACTGCAATGGTTAACAACAACAACAACAAGTTTTGATCTCTTTAACTAAAACTTCTGAAAAATGTAAAATTTCTTAAAAGAAAAAACAAAAAAAAGGAAACAAAAAAAGGTTGTGGAACTTAGATTTGTATAGTTTCCTTATATGATACTAATACGGCAAAGTTTGTTCTCTATATATATATAAACAAAACTTATTTTCTTTCTTCTCCTTCATTACAAGAATCACACAAAGCTTTTCAAGTTTTCGAGTTTGATTACATAAAATCATGAATTCTTTGTTCAGTATGTTTGATACGTTTTGTGCTGAGATTATGATGAGGAGAAAAGTTACATCTAATTCTAATGCATCATCATCATCTCATGGATCATCTACTTCTTCTTCTAGTGTTCAAGCCGTGTTGATGGAGAAGACACCAAAGAAGTATTTGGTGGAGAAAGAGAAACCACTGAGGCTTGCTCCAGAGTTCGATGGGCTTCATTGCTTCGAAACCATAATTTATACTTCTTGATTTTAATCTTTTTTTGTTAGTTCTTGTGTGTTGTTTGATTTTGTTATTATTATTTATGAATGTACATGTTGCTTAAATAAATTAAAACAAGAGTGATTAATTCAAGAGAAATACCCTCTTTAATTTATAAGTTTCTTTATTAATTATTTGCTGTTTTTTTTTTTTTTTGAATCATGTTGAATGAGTATGTTTTTTTCGGATTTCTTATTATGCAAGAATTGATGACTATTTAAACGTGAAAAAATAGCTACGATTAAACAAACTTTAAGAGATTAGAAATTTTAGTTTACAATTTATTAGGCTGGATATATAAACTATAAATAAACTGAACTAATTAACCAAACCGAACTAAAGTTTGGCTAATTAGGTTTATTTGATGAACCTCAATGACAAGAGTAAACATGTTTGGCTTGAGGAATAAGCAACCCATTGTTTTTACATTTTATCGTAAACAAAACCCCGAAAATTACCAAAAATATATTATAGTTTTCTTTCCATATAAGTTAACTGAATTTTTTTCCATTCATAAATCAAATTTAATTTCCATTTAACTGAACTTTTAATTTCGATTTAGCATGAACCATTTTCAAACCGAACCAGACCAAACAAAACTAAAATTTTAGAGGGCCAAGCCCAATAACAACATTTTTTCAAAGTGTCAGAATATTTCTCAAGTCTCACCGTCAGATTTAGAGTTACTATCTATTTTAACATTTTTGAAGTATATTTTGTACTAAAATCTAATTTAAGTTATAACCTTTTATTTTGTAATATTTGCATAATCAAACCCTTACCATTTGAATAAATAACAAAACTTAAAGTAAATTTTGTAATTAAATCACAAGCAAAACTCAAAATTGGAAATAAATATTTATTACATCAAAAAAATTTCCTAAAATATCTCTGTAATAATTTGAATCTCTCTCCAATATATTTTTATAATCTTATTTATTTTCCATTTATATTATTACATAAGAAATATTTATAATAAAAATACAAAAAAATTCACACATTTTGCAATTGAAATTTTTTGAAAACTTGATAAAGGGAAAATGTTTATATAAGAGTTCAAAACCACTATAAATATGACTAATATGTTTCCAACTACAAATGAGCATGAAATTTGGTTTCTTAGGCATCCAAATAAAAAAATTTATTCTGTTTAATCCGGTTATATATTTAAGAAAACTAAATTTTTAAAAAGTTTCAAAATATTATAAATTTTACTTTCTTAGAAATGTTTAAAATATTATAGAAACTCTTACTAATGCCGTAATATTCTAACATTTAATTGAAAATATTATTAATATTTTAACTCTAATTTTTTTAAAATACAATAATATTGTACATAAATATGATTGGACGGATTTGAGTTTACATAAATAGGATTATATTTTTCTTATGGGTTGTTTATAATAAAATATTTTTACGGGTTAAGTTAAAATATAATTTGTTTTACAACAAAATTATTCCGTGGTGTACTGCGGGTTAACCACATACAGTAAAACCTCTATAAATTAATAATGTTGGGACCAAGATATTTTATTAATTTATAGTGATATTAATTTATCTATAAATTAATATTTATTAATTTATAGTGTAAATTAATAATTAATAATTTATAGTGGTATTTTTAATTTTCAAATATTTTAAAGATATGGATGGACACAATTTTACAAAAATATTACTAATCTTTTAGATATTGTAAATTAGCTAGTAGTTTGAAAATGAATATTATATATTTTTAAAAAAAGAAATTTGACAAAAAACTTCAAAATTATAGATAAATTCACTTACAAATGATATACATAAATTCAAATGTATCTTAATAACCTCAGTTGTTATATCTTCATATCATATATGTAAAAATGAATAATATGCATATTTAAAAATTGAAAACATAAAGAAAATTTGATTATTTTTATGACTTGTGATGGTATATATTACAAGATTATTTTTAAAAAATATACTAACACAAAATTATTTATGGAGGTGAACTCTAGGAGAAAATTTATTTTTACAAAAAATTAGAAACATACATTAATATATCTACAAATACATTAATATATCTACTTATATATAAATATATGTGTGAGTATATAGTGATTATTAATTTATAATATTATTGGGACTATATCTTACATGGGGATTTCAAAAAAGTTATTATCTTATTATCTTATCGAATTTGGTCAATTTTTACATTGGCCTGACTTGGGACCAGCAAAATTTATTAATTTATAGTGTTTATTAATTTATAGAGTATTAATTTATAGAAGTTTTACTGTATATCTATGAATCTACTTATAATACAAATTCATTAAAGTATGTAAAATTAAATGAAATAAACACGTATAAAACTAGACTATATCAATTAACTACAAAAATGACCAACCAAACAAATATATTAAATTATGGATCCGTGGTGTATCACGGGGTAAATCCTAGTTTAAAATGATAAGGTTTGCAAATTTCTTTATTTTTTCCCTTGATAATAATTCTTCAAATGTCATAAATAATTTTGTTTTTTATAGTTTCTATCGAATAAGCATGGGACATGTTGAGGTATACATTTCAATAAACTAGATTTTAGTTGACAAAGCACACACTGTTTTGATATATTCCTTAGACATTGTGTGTTGGATTAAATTAAAACTTTGTGAGTTGTGACTCTGACTATGACGAAATATAAGAAATTCAATTCAAACAAGAAAAACTTAGAAAAATTCCAAGAAATTGAAACATTCTTGTTTCAAACTCATCTATATAAATGCTTAAGCTTACCTCAATATTAGTCCTCAACTACATTGCTTCTCTCTTTCTTGAAATGAGGAATCATCACAAAACATCAATTTTTGTGGTACTAAGTCTGGTAATAATTCTCAATGGGCATAGCAGTTTCTTGGCACGAGCCGTTGCTGAGAGCAAGGTACTTGACACATTTCATATATAAGTTCATTCTTTTACCAAACAACATAGACAAAGACCAATAGATTAACTAATTTGATTCTATTGTGATAATCAATAGGTTCATATAGTGTATTTAGGTGAGAAGCAGCATGATGATCCCAAATTTGTCACGGAATCTCATCATCGGATGTTGTGGTCACTTCTTGGAAGGTATGTGTATTGGTAAAAGTTTCTCCATTGTTATAATGTTTGTATATTCATAATGGTTCTTGATTTTGCTTCATCATTCATGTTAACAGTAAAGAGGAGGCCTATGATTCAATGGTGCATAGTTTTCGACATGGCTTCTCAGGGTTCGCGGCTAAGCTTACCGAGTCCCAAGCCAAGAAAATAGCGAGTAGGCAGTCCTAACCTCATATTTAACAATGGGACATTCTGATTTTGTTTTTATTGCTAATGCATTTTTTGGCTAACAGATTTACCTGAAGTTGTTCATGTTATACCGGATAGATTCTACAAGCCGGCAACAACTCGAACTTGGGACTACCTTGGTCTTTCTGCTTCTAATCCAAAGAATCTTCTTAATGAAACTAATATGGGTGAAGACATGATCATAGGCATAATAGACACAGGTGAGAGTGTATATTTGTAAATAGTTTTTATCATAGAAATGATCAATACAAATCATAAGTTCCTCTATATGGCTAAACTGTTTTGTGCCAATGTAGGAGTATGGCCAGAATCTGAAGTATTTAATGACAATGGGATTGGACAAGTGCCAAGCCACTGGAAAGGAGGATGTGAATCAGGTGAAGCTTTCAACTCCTCTCACTGTAACAAAAAGCTCATAGGAGCCAAGTACTTCATCAATTCTTTTCTTGCGGAGAACGAAAGCTTCAACTCCTCAG